TATGAAGAGGTAAAAGTTAATTAGCGTATGAATTGTTTGCATGGAAGTGTCATTCCTATGTGGCCAAAAATAGCTTGGACTCTTCACAAGGTGGAATCTCTGCTTTGAAATTCCCTGTACTTGCACAGGAAGGTTGGCCTCCTGGGTGCAGGCAGAGGACGCCTTTCCGAGGGACCCACAGCCCCAGGGACACCAGGGCTGAGCTGCTGCTTGCACTCTGTTCTGTGTTTGCTGCTTTCACGGGAGCCCTCAGGAGCACTTTGATGAGACACAGCCACCCCAGCCTCACTCCCAAGGATTGTAATTCAATTGCTCTGCCGTGAAGCCAAGAAGTCTTGTATTCAAAGCTCCAGAGGTGATGCTAACATGCTGGTAAAATGACCCCTACTGAACTCTTGGAGGTCAAATGTGCCTTAAAATGACCACTTCTGGCTATTAACCCACAGGCTTTTTCAGGTCACATAGATAGATAATGTGACAACAGTTATCCTGAGGTCCCTGGGGGAACTTGAGGATCTCCCCCCTCAAACTGGGGTTTGTTTTTTAAGGATTCTAACCACATTTTCCTAAGAAGCTGCATCCAGAGAAATAATGTTTGAAGGATGTGGAGAGTGAGCCCAGACAGGGAGCAGAAGCCACCCTGGGCATAAACCACAGGACATTTGCATTATTATGTGCTGCTGGAGGCTGAGTGTGGACGAGCGTGGGAGTGAGGAACCCCCAGGACCATGGTCTTAGGGAGACCCTCCACTCCTGTGGACTTTGTGTGCAGGAGCCACACTGAGGAAGACACCCCAGTGCCTCTGGCAGAGACGGGGCAGAGTCGTTACTATGGGGCAGGCTACCGCCCCCCCGGCTTCTCCACAACGAAGGCTCACGGCACAAGTGAAAGGCTGACCAGGCGTTTCCCTCACCTGCAGGAAGACACGCTCTCCCACCCACTCCTCCCAGCTTCTCGTCTCACCTGACTGGCTGGGGTTGGGGTGAGGAAAAGCTGCGAGGACCCTAAGGCAGTGGCCTCCTCCCACACCTCACCTCACAGCCACAGGGCCCCGCGGTAACAGCAGTGGACGCCGGCGGAAGAGCTGCTGGGTGCAGGCTCTCCGCAAACTCAGCAGGGGAGGCAGAGAGAATCAAGGAGACTGGGGGACTTTGAAACCTCATCCAAGAAAAGCTGGCGAACTTATGGTAAGTTCATTTGGAGCAAGCCATTTGGAGCAAGGAAAATTGTCAGGGATAAAAAGAAACATTATGTCATAGTGAAGGGGTCCATTCTCTAAAAGGCATAACATTCTTAAACGTGTATGCACCTAACAACAGAGCATAAAAATACGTGAGGCGCAATCTCATGGAACTGGAGGGAGAAATAGAAAAGTCCATTATTATTACAGGTGGAGACTTCAACGCCCCTTGCTTAGTAATTGATATATTAAGCAGGCAGGAAATCTATGAGCATACAATTTTTTTGAACAGCACTATCAATCAATTTGATCTAGCTGGAATTTATAGAATACTCCACCCAACAACAGCAGAATACACTTTCTTTTCAAGTTAACATGGAACCGTAACCAAGCCACACCACATTCTGGGCCACAAAACACACCTGAATATTTAAAAAAAAAAAGAATAAAAATCATGCAAAGTATGTTTATTGACCACAACAGAAGCTACAAATCACTACCAGGAAGATAGTTGGAAAATATGCAAATATTTGGAGAAAAACAAAGCATGTCTATAAAACATGTGTCCATGAAAGAGGTTTAAAAGGAAATTTTAAAAAATGTAAACAAATTAAGGTGAAAATACAAGTTAAAATTTATGAGATGCAGCAAAAGAGAATGTATAGCATTAATTCCATAGATTAAAAAAATGAGAAAGGCTTAAAAATCATAATATAAACCTTGGAAAATTATAGAAAGTATAATTTAAACCTTAATGCAAGAAAAAAAAGAAATCAAAATTAAAGGAGAAATGACATGGAAAAAGGACAATAATATAAAAAATCAGTGAAAACAAAATATAGTTCTTATGAAGAGCAATAAAATTGATCACTCTAAGGAGGCCCATGAAATTTGGGGGAGCGACAGCTCAATGTCTGAAATGCAGGATAAAGGTCAATATACAAAAGGAAATTGCTTTCCCTTATACCAACAGTGAATAATTGGAATGTCAGATAAAATATTTAAAATAGCATCAAAAAATAAAATATTTGGGTGTAAATATAACAAAATATGTACAGTATCTATAGGTGGAAAAATTAAAAACTGATGAAAACAAATCCAAGATCTAAACAAATGGAGAGGTATTGTGTTTGGGACTTGAAGACTCAATATTGTTAAGATATCAGTTACCTCCAACTTGATCTATAGATTTGATAAAACCCATAGTCAAGTCTCAGCACCTGTTTTGTGGGTATCAACACACTGATTCTAAAGTTTTTGTGAAAAGGTGTCATGCTGACTGGAGCAGAAACTCACTGTGGAGGCCACACTGTGAACCAGCGCCGGGACAGGAAGAGGTAAACTGGGGTTGACGGATTGCTGGAGGCTCAGGAGGGATGCAGTGGTTTCTGTCCTTGGAGAAGGTCACCTCAAGGTGAAGGTCATGTTGCTCTGTGAGGTGGCGACCAGTTTTGTGCCTAACTTAGCCGCCCGACACTAGCGCCATGTCATAGGTAAGTGACTAATGGTGCATCAAGCCTTGTACCTTCCTTTGAAAGAGTTCTGCACCTTCTTGGTTCTCTCCCTCATTAAAGAATTACACATCTTTGACAGATGCTCACTGGACACGTCTATAAAAATTGCTTTTAACTTTTTGAAAAGTGCACTTTGACCATGAGCGAGGTCTCATCACAAAGGAGCTATTAGAAAAGGAGCATCTCATAAGTGGTGTTGCAAGATTGGCCCATGGGGGGCACGACATTTTATCCCAGTCCGCCCCACCCACAAACTCGGACCAACTCTAGTGTATTGAGAACATCAATGTGAATCACAAACCTTTAAGCTCTCATGAGAAAAAATAAGTATAATAACTTTATAAGCTTGAGGTGGGGGGAAATTTTATTCAACTAAGGACAGAAAATGCAAACTTCAAAGGAAAACAAAACAAGAAAATCAACTACATTAAATTATGAACTTCTGTGTCTCAGAATACAGAAGGAAAACATTGAGAAGGCAAACCGTAAACAAGGAGCACAGATTAGCAACACATTTAACTAACAAAGGATTAATACTCAAAATACATAGATAAAAAAACTTCTCCAAATCAGTAATAAAAAGGCAAACAACCTAATAGGTTCACAGCAGAGGGAAAAATATGGCAAATAAACACATGAACAGATGCTTAACCTCATTAGTAATCTGAGAAATGCAAATTAAAACAATAATGAGATACCATTTGCACTCGCCAGATTGGCAAAAGTTAAAAAGTCTGACAATACTACTTGTTGGTGAGGACAGATCTTTGGGAACGCTTTGGCTGTCCTAGTAAGAACGTCAGCTGGACCAGCGCCTTTGGAGACCACTTGGACATCATGTGGCCAGTTCGACTATCTTGCGGCTCCACATCTGGTCACATACCCCGAACAGTCCCACAGGTCACCAGCCAGCAGGAACAGGAACCTCACAGCAGCATTGCTGGAGCTGTAACCAACTCGGAGAAACTTAAATGTTGACCCACAGTAGAAAAGACAAAGGAACTGTGGCATTTTCATACATGGGACATAACTCGGCAGTGACAGTGGAAGTCCATGTCATGTACCAACGTGTGTCCCTGAGGCGGGATTATTGTAGCTGAGTGGAGACGAGTGACCATCTTGCAGTAAAAGAAATGTGGAGAAAAGACACCTTTTGCTGACACTGTTGGCTCAACTTTGCAGAATTCATGTTGGAAGTCATTTACTGCCATATTAAAACACATTTCTCTAAAAGAAAAACACAACCCCATCCTATTGTTCATTTCCTGTTGATTTTAAAAAGAAATTGATATTGTAAAAGTTATTATTTAGCCCCTGGAAGGAGTTGCTCACTCACGCCTGGCTGGCTAGCACATTTTTTGAGCATCTTAACATAGGGACTGAAGGATGAGGAAACGCAAATGTCAAATGAAGAAACCCATGTGTGTAGGACGTTGGTCATGATTGTCACAGGTCCACATAGTGACAAACCTTTGTATCTGGTTTATTCATGTTTTAATTGCTGTCCAAATGGTCTTTTTTAATCTCATGCTTGCATGTAAAATTTGAAAAAAACAAAAGATAATGGTGAATTATTTAGCACAAATTGTAAGCTGCTTAAGAATTAGTCAAATGAATCGTACAAAACCCTGCATGGTGAGTTTGTCTCCTTATTCTTTGTGGGCATTTGTTTCAATTTTTGTGTTCTTTGTATTTCATGCTTTTAGGGATTGCACTCATCTATTGCCTCATTACTGCTTTGAAAGGATGATTCTTATATGGAAAAGAGAACATTGTTTTTTACACTGTATCCAAAAATCCCACTTTAATTCATAGGAAATTTGTTAAAAGAAAACAATTTAGGGAAAATCTGTTTGAAAAAAGAGAGAAAAGTGGTTGACTGTTAAAATCCTCAGAAAGCCTCAAAATTAGACTGTGGACGAAAGGCTGACACGCCGATGGGTTGGAGTCCCGTTCCCTGTACTCCACCCCCACCCAGCCCGCCCCCACTCTAACGCGGCTATTTCTCAGTTAGGGAGACGAGACGACTTTGCTGAAATAATGAAACACATGGATGGAAAATAACCCCAAAGATGGGAAAGCTGAAAATGCAAGATTGATAAAGTAATTTTAATTTGGCTCTACATATGTTAAGGTAGTTAGGGTGACTTCTGCGAAGGAGTCCAACTGTGTGAGGACAGATGTGCAGAAGCTGATTGCACGCACACGCGCGCGCGCACGCGCACACGCGCCCCCCACGGCGGGTGTGCTCTGTACACGGAGGCCGCCCCGCCCTGGTTTCCGAGCCCGCTGTGCCGCTTCGCAGCCGGGCATGGCAGAGAGGGTCCCCAGCAAGCGCCTGCCGTCCCCTGCGGACACGCAGGGCCCCCGACGGCCCTGGTCTGTGGCATCTGTGGTCGGAACAGCGGTGGCCGGGCTCTGGGCCAGCTCGCCCGTGGCTCGGAGGGGTGGGGGCGCCCAGGACCGGGCGTGGGGCGGGGGCAGCAGCGCCAGGCCCCGGCTCCCGGGCTGTCAGCCTCAGGCCTCGCTCCTGCCCTCGCTGTCGCCGCCCTGCCCGCTGCAGCTGCACGGATCCTCGCCACAGGCCGGGGCCTGAGGTGCCCGGACTGCACGCGCTCCGCCTCGCGCCCTGGGCGCCCGCTGCTCGGCCCTGAGACGCGTGTGCGGCCACCTGGTGTCCAGGGACCCCGCCTGAGGGATCAATGTGGTGGCGGGAGCAGCGGGGGGCAGGCCGGTCTGCAGCCTCCGCTCCCAGGAAAGGCGCACGCCAGGCGGCTGCTGACACCCCGTTGGGAGACGTGGCTTTGTCTGCGGGGTCCCCGGGAGGGACAGCAGAGCATCCGGGCAGCGAGGCCTCCTCCGAGGCGGCGGGGGGAGAGGAGGCCGGGAGGCCACGGAGGGCAGGGCTGGTCCTGCTGTCCAGCACGCTGCTCTTAAAAGACCTGAGACTGGAGGTTCGCAGCAGAGCTGAGGGCCACGTGGCCGCTGCGAGGTGCTGTGCTGAGGCCGCGCAGATGTCAAGGCTCCTGGCCTCCTGGCAGCACGTCGGGGACGCGCTTTTACAGACGCCTCCGCGGTGACTGTCACCAAGGTGGGTGTCCACAGCAGCTCACACAGGCATTCACTTCAGCTTGGAATCATTTCTTTCCCATAAGACGGGGATCAAACAGCCCCCCTGAGGACCACCAGGCTAGACTGCGGGGGCGGTGAGATCCGCCAGGGAGCCCCGCTCTGTGGAAGGTGTTGGCGCACAGGGGAGGTGCAATGACTGGCCCCGGGTCTCAGCGCCCCGCACGAGCCGGCCCGGCCCTGGGGGCGCGCCCCTCCCGGGACTGCTCTCCTTCCCGTTCACGCCTGTGGACACACGCGTGTGTGGCTGCAGGGAAGCCCAGCTCAAACGCCACTCTACACTCGCCGAGCGCCAAGGACACGGGCAGGGGTTCAATGGCGCCGGAGGAGAGACTCTGCCCATCCCAAATGCCAACTCTGCCCCTGGCGAAAGCACCGCCGTTTCTCAGTTCTCAGCCGCCCCGGCATGTCCAGCAATCTGTATTCCTGACAAGCATGCGTGTGACTGGGGAGTGGTTTCCAGGGCTTCGAAGCCTCTCCGTCTAACCAGTCAGAAACTACCAGCCTGTGCGCACGTCTGCTTCTCTCTGCTCCCTGTTCTCAGAGCGACGCTCAGCTCAGGCATCGTCCGCATTCATCCCCACTGCGCCCAGGTCTACCAGCGGTCACAGCTCGCCGTTCCTACAGCATGTGACGGTCCACCACGTGACCTGGACCTCTGCTGCCTGTTGCTGTGTGGACACATATGTGCACTTACCTGAGATAAGAGCATTTTCCGAGAAAGGATGCAGGACATAGGCTGGACGCTCAGCGTTAAAACACCTGCCAAGCAGCCTCCCACGTGGCTCTGCCACTTCACCCACGTGATAATAGTTCCCGGTGTCCCCCCTTGCCTGAGTCTGCTGGGTCCACCGGGACAAAGTACCACAGGCTGGGAGGCTTCAACAACAGGAAGTAATTTTTGTCCCAGGTCTGGAGGCTGGATGTCCAAGGTCAAGGTTCTGGCCGGGCTGGTTTCGCCTGAGGCCTCTGTCCTTGGTGTGCAGATGCTCGCCCTCTCACTGTGTCCCACAGGGTCCTCTGTGGGTGCATGTCCGTGGCATCTCTCTGAGTGAGCAAATGTCCCCTCTTTATAAGGACCCCAGTCTTCCTGGATCAGGACCCACCCAACAGCCTTCTTTCTTAACTGAGTCTCCTCTCTAAAGGACTTACCTCCAAAGACAGTCACGTTCTGAGATTTTGGGGTGAGGGCTTCAACACATGAATTTTATGGGGACAGTTCAGCCCCTAACACACATCCTCACCCATATTAGTCATGCCAGCGTTTCACCGTCCTAGTGGGTATGGGGTGGCTTCTTGTTTGCACATCTGCATTTTCCTGAAGACTGACTATATGCAGCATATTTCATACGCTTAATGGACATTCTCATGTCTCCTTTTATAACATATTTTTATTGCTTACTTTAAAAGTTAAGTTTTCTTTCTATTTTTGATTGAATAGCTTTATTTATCCTTAATAAAAGTATATTCAATAAAATATATGTTTTGTGAATATTTTTCTCCATCTGCAGTTTGCTTATTCATTTTCTTAATGGTGTCTCTTGATAAAATCAATTCTCCTTTTATAATTGGTGCTTGTTTTCTCCTGAGAAATATTTGCTTACTCAAGTTTGTGAAGTTTTATGGGTCTGCCTTTCATGTTTAAGCCCAAGCTAATTCTTGTGTATGAAGTGATGTGATAGCTTAAGCTCGTTTGTTTTTTTTGTTTGTTTTTTATTACAAATGTCTGCTTCCTTACCCTAAAAGGCTTTCCTTCCCCCCCCCGACTCATCTGGGCACATTGATTGAAATGCACTTGACTGTACATGCGGGGTTCTAGTTTGCAGCTATCTAGTCTGTGGATCTTTTATCTATGGTTACAGCCATAATTACATGACCTTGCTTTCTACTAAGTCTTGAAATCAGCTAGAGTGAGTTCTTTACCTTTGTTCTTCATTTGTTTGGGTTATTTTAGATCATTTATATATCCATGTAAATTTTAGAATTGGCTAATCAATATATTGAAAACGTCTGCTGTGATTCCGGTGGGTTTGATAATTCTACAGATTGGTCTGGGGGGGAGCCAACATCTGAGTAATACCATCTTTTCCAGTCCATGTATATGCTGCATCTCACCATTAACTTGGGTTTTTTATTTCTTTTAGCATAGTTTCTGTGGATTTACTCCTAGACACTTGATTTTTAAAATTCTCCTGTAAACTATAATTTTAAAAGTTAAATTTCCTTTTGTTCATTGCAATATGTAGGAATTGTTGTAATATCACATTATATATTGACCTTGTATCCTAAGCCCTACCTAAATCCACATGTTAATTCAGGTGAAGGGTTTTTTGTCAGCTTGTTTTGAGATTTCATGTTATCTGTAAATAACAAGGGTTTTCTTTTTTCTTTTTTCTTTTTTGTTTAATTAAAGTTTATTAGGGTGACAATGGTTAGTAAAGTTACATAGGTTTCAGGTGTACAATTCTGTAATACATCATCTATATATCGCACCCAGAGCCAGTTCTCCTTCCATCACTATATATCTGACCCCGTTTACCCTTATCTACCTCCCCTCTTCTATTTTTTCTTTCCAATCTATATGTCTTTTTCTTTTCAAACACAAGAGGCAAGAGCAGACATCTTTGCTTTCTTGACCTTTGGCGGGGGGTGGGGGGGTGGGGGGGGTAACCTGACAAAGGCATTTTCAAGAGATTATAATATGCATCTTTTACTTCTCATGATTCATCTAGACTTATAATTGCACCACTTCCAAAAAAATGTAAAATTTTGTTTTGAAGAGAATTGTGACTTTTAAAGAAATTGAAATAACAGAGACAAACAGTTTACTTACCTTCTGTATTCTATGCATCCAGCATGAGTTCCCTTGAGCTGAAGAATTTATGCTGTTATTTCTAACAAGGAAGGCCTGCTGGTTATGAGCTCTTTTAGTTTTTTTACCTGGAAAAAAAAATTTGTTGAAGGACACTTTTGCTGGATGCATAATTCTGGTTTATAATTTTCTTTCTTTCTTTTTTAGTAGTTTAGCATTTAAATTGGTTAAGCTATTATCTTCTTACCTTCATTTATTTTCTAATGGGAAACGCATTTCTTTTCATATTATCTTTCACTTTGGTTTTCAGATTATTAATTGTTCTTTGTGTTTCAGCAGTTTGAATATTATATGCCGAGATGGAGACTTTTAATTTGTATTTTTTTATTTTTAGTATTTTTGTATTTGATTGGGTTTCATTGAGTTTTCTGGACCAATGGGTTAATTTCTTTCATCAATATTAAAAAATGATCATCATTACTTTTTCAATACTTCCTTCTGCCCGATTCACTCTGTTCTCCTTCTGGTTCCCCAATGATGTCCTTGTTAAAGTGATGTCATCTCACATCTCAAACGCTCAGTGCTGTTACCACTGCCATTGCTTTTGCCATTATTATATTGAGGATGACGTCTCTTTTCTGTGTTTTGGTCTGAATAATTTATACTGCTCTGCCTTCTAATGATTTTTTTTTTACAGTTTTAATCTGCTGATAAATTTCATCATCTTTTCACGCATATTGTTCGTCTCTCCCACTACATCGCAGTAATTTTGAAGCCCACACCTTACAGCGCCCCACCTGGACTTCCCTGTCCGCTGCTGACCGTTTCTTCTCCTGATCATGGGCAGCATTGTCTTGTTTCTTCACTTCTTTTAATTTTTTAATGCGTGACACGCGTGACATAAAACAACAGTAGAGATTAAAATAAATACCTATCCAGAAAACGGTGCGCCCTTTTCTGACAGGCTGGTGGCGTGTGGGGCACTTCCTCCGTCTAATCTGCAGTTGAACTCAGTAATTTTCATCGTTGCAGTTGTAGTTAGATTTTGATCAACACTGGCTTCAGAAGTTTAGGAGGAAGGATCAAGAATTTACCTTCTGCAGGTCTTGAAATGTAGGCGCTACAAAGATCTAAATATTTCTTTGTTCATCATAGTCCAACTGCCATCTTTCCGAATCACACACGAGCTCCTGTCATACAGAGTGGGTGTCAGGTTTGGGGTTGCTGGGGGGCCTTGCTGCTCCTTAGGGGAGTTCTCTCTCTGCCACACTCCCCTGGGCTTTGGAAAGCAGTCAACTCAGGGGCACTCAGGATTTTAAACTTTCATACGGGCTACACATGGTCAATAAAAGTTCTGTAAAAGTTCCCCTAGTTTCTCCTTACTCCTTAAGTATGGTTTTTGGTGTTTTTTTTTTACCTTTAATTGCTCCACGAAAAGTGAACAGAGATATAGCTATTCTCTTGCTTAGAAAGAACGAAGTAATTTCGAGATGTAAGTCTATGCAGTTTGTAGTTTTCTATGCATCTTTTGCTCACTGATGGATGTTGAAAACTATGTTTTGTAGCTTGTACAAATTATCCTCATAGGAGGGCTGGGGCAACAGTCTCTTGTTTCTCTCTAGATCCTAATTCAAAACAGAGATCCAGGTGCTTTC